TCGACGGGAATAACTCCACCACCAGTTTGATTTTCGTTTGGCGTCGGTGCAAAATTAGAACTCATCACCAACATGGTGTGAGTGAGATTCTGAAGAGTGGTAAGAATCTCCTGCTGAGTATTTTGAAGTCCTTGAATGGCCTCAAGCAAAAGTGGTTGATCTGGAGCCATGGTCCTATCATCACCACCATTAGGGGATCCTTGTTGGTGAACTTCATCTTCTCCCGCCATCCCTGTTGGAGTTGTGTGGATTCCAGATCTCGTTAAGACCATTAACCAATCCACCTCCCCAGTGGAGTCGCCAAATGTATGATGGGGTTCAAGAAAGGAGTTGGAAAATTCGAAGATCTTTGAAGATCCTTGAAGAACAACTTCGAATTCTCTAGAAGATGGTGAGAGGCTTAGATTCTTCAATAGTTTCAACTTAAGAACACAAGAGTAAAGGAGATGATGGAGATAAGAGATTGGGTGAAGAAGAAGGCAAAATAGCTAGAGAGAGAATAATGGCAAGGCTCTCCCATGGATCTCCCATTTTCACTCTCAAGGTTGATAATGGAGAAGGGAAATTAGTTCTTTCCCAAGAGTTAATTCTCCAAAATCCATCACTTGTAAACTATGGGTGAGTGCTATTTATAGGCACCTCATGATATAGGATGGAGCCCATGTGCAAGGCACATGGGGAATATTCTCTCTAACCACCTTGTCCGAAGAGGTGACCTCTCCGAAGATGAGGAAAACCCCGAAGAGGAGATCAACCTCTCGGCGAACCCTTCTTCTTAGCCACACTTAACCAATGATCCCCAATCATCCCAAAGGATCAGGGGTAGTCCCAGAGGACATCCTGCCGCAAAATATTGCCGAGTCTCATGGACCCCCCGGAGTCGTGCCACCTCGACCTAGGTATAGGCTAGTTTAACCGAAGAGTGAATTTATCTCCACCCACCGTCCTCGGGATCGGGTCCTTTGTTCGAACTCCATTACACCCATGGTTCTAGTGCGTAGATCCTGGAAAGCTTTGAGCCCACAAGTGTTCTGGGACTCATTAACGGAGCGGCTTCTAGATTGTGTTTGAATCCGTTCAAAGCCAAGTGCTTCGAATCTCTAGGTTCGTGGATCCAAACCCTTTCGAGTCCGAGCCCGAGTAGGTCTCTAAGTTCGTGGATCCAAACCCTTTCGAGACCTAGAGCGATTTGGCCCGTTTTGATGGTAATTAATCCGGGCCCACCAATCTTGGATTTGCGATAAATTCGGGCCACCAACCTTGGACTATTGGGCCTAATTAATTTAGTGGGCCCAAATTAGCTCCTCTTACACTGTTGATGAAGATGTTCGCCACCTCCGATCTCTGATCTCCGCCTTCGATTTGTGTATGAGGATGTTGTGTCAAAATTGTTTTTCAGATTTTTATATTTTTTTTTGATTGATCTCCATTTTGATTTTTACATTTTTTTTGGGCCCTCTGTGCTGTGTATCTGTGCTGTGTTGATAATGATGTGTTGGGGTGGGTTTGATTTTTGGTTGATGATAAAGATGATCTCTCTCTCTTTCTCTGCTCTGCTCCTTTCCTTTTCTCTTCTTTCTTTCTTCTTCTTCCTCTTCTTCTTCTTTGTTCCTCTTCTTCTGCGTTATTGAAAAAAAAAATATATCAAAACGACGAAACAACGTCGTTTTGAATTTGGGGGATTCAGGGAAGGGAGCATTCGAGCTACGTAGCATAATTGTTTATTACAAGCTAAAAGCTGATAATCAAAAAGCAAAACCAAAAGCACCCATTTTCTAAATAATTAGTTTTTCTCAGTTTATTTAAGTTATTTCTGCCTAAAAGGCCGCAAACAAAAGGTGCACTAAATAATCTGGCACAAATTTCTAAATTAAAATAAGTTGTAATCACTCCTATAATCCATACCAAATACCCCTTTATCCTATATGAAACAGAGCATAATGCCCACGGTATACTTTAAGTTTGTTTAGTTTAAATAAATTGTTTATTACCTTTTTTCGTCTTTTCTTCTTCTTTTATTCTTATTATTTATTTATTTATTTGTTATTTTTTAAAGATTTTATGTTGGACAGTTTGTTCTAGATCTGCTTATAATTATTTGATAAAAATAGATTAAATAATCAAGAAGAAAAATAAAAAGGAGCGTTTTTAAGTTTTGCTTGAAGATTATCAAATTATCAGATTTAGTGAAATTTTTTACGAAAGTTGATAATAAAAAATAAAACTAAATGCAGCCCATCCACTGCTTTCAACAATCAATTATAAATTATTTTGATTGATTGGACTGGGATTGTCTAATTGAGGAGACTTTATGGAAAAATTCATTCATTATGTTTTTTAATCATTCAATATAAATTCGTGAGCTCCACTTCTTCTACCAATCACAATATCATCGAAGCATCACGTGGCGGTCCTCAAGGCCAACCAATAACTTCTCCACACCCTGGGTCTATTTCTGTTCATTTTGGTTGTCAATCAAATTTTTTTTTAATGCACAATTAATTATTTTGTTAAATTTGGCAAATAAATTATTTGTATGAAAAAATCAAATCCAACCATTTCATTTGGTCACAATTCTATCTTAAGAAAAAAAAGTGATACTATACATAATTTTTTTTTTCATCGAGTTTAATTTGTTTTAAATTGTAATTTTAATTTGAGAGAGCATTTGAATTTTTAAGTCTATTTTATGATCGATTTCGATGATTCAAACTGTTTACTTTTTAAAAATCTTTGAGTAGAATATTCATATAAAAAATTATAATGATTTGACATCAGTAACTATATATTAAAATCATATTTAAAAAAAAAAAAGATAACAAATATAATTTTAATAATAGCCATTCATTTTTTTATGGGTAAATTACAAACACTCCCCCTGATATTTACTTAAATTATAAATTACCTATGTGGTTCTAGAAATTACATTATACCCCCTAAGGTTTCTAATTTCATAACAAATAGATCATTTTGTTAATAAATAATCAAATTAATTAACAGTGTTTAATAATATTAAAATTTATTTCAATTAATAATTTAGATAATTTTATTATTGTATAAGTGAACAATTAGAAATTTTATTTTTTCAATTAATTCTGTTAAATAAAAATTTTTGACAATAAGGTATCAAATCACATAGAGCAATTCATATTTTAAACAAATTTCAATGAGAATATTTGTGATTTATCCTTTTTTTTATAATAGTGTCTATTCTCAATTTTAAATATAATAGCGTCTAAGAAATAAGATTATATGTAATATTTTTTCACAAAAAAAGAGTAGTATCTATTCTCAATTTCATAAGAAAAACAGTCTCATTTAGTAACTCGAAACCAAGACGGCTCGAATGGCCCCAGTCCAAAACGACGCCGTTTTGGAATTATTATTATTATTTTTTTTTCCTCTCTTCTCTCTTTGAAGACGAAGAACACAGAGAAGAGGAAGCTGGGGAAGAACATGTAAAGTCTTCATCAACAGCAATTGGAAGACTTTTGTTCAACAACATCTTCATCAACAGCATCTTCGTCAACATCAACAAAAGTCTTCATCTTCATCAACAACATTTTCATCAACGCATCATCATCATCAACAGCAACATCTTCATCAACATCATCATCATTAACACATCATCATCATCATCAACAACAACTTCATCAACATCATCATCATCATCAAACACATCATCATCAACAACAACAACATCATCATCATCAACATCTATCGATTTTGTGAAATCCATATCCATCGATTTCGATGAAATCAATCGATTTCAAACCATGAAAAAAGAAGAAGAAGAAGAAGAAAAAAAAAACTAGTTGAGCTCTCTCTCCTCTCTCTGTCTCTCTTTCTCTTCCTCTCTCTTCTCACTGTCTCTCTTTCTCTTCCTCTCTCAAGGATCTAATAGAAGGAAGAAAAAAAAACACTACCCAGAACGATGTCGTGTCATTTTGGGCAGTCAGGCCATTCGAGGCGAAAGATTTTCGAGCTATGAATCATTTTTCAAAAAACAAACATTTTTGATTATGTGAATATCAATGTCCAATTCAATCAATTATATGAATTATTTGCTCCATAAACTAAGTCCAATAGTTTGAATCATCAAATGACTCTGCATACTTCGCGTAGGGCTCGAGAACATTGATAAATAATTATCCCAAAAAAACAAAAAAATAGAGAAAAGAAAGAAGTAGACCTTGGTCGAATTCGGATCTTATAGAGTGATTTTTAGTAAACTAATTTTAGAATAATTTTTTGAATGATTGAAATTGAGGCTAGGCTTGACATCTCTAAAAAAGTCAAAAAGTCACTATGCCTCCGTTTGGGAAGTGGGTTGGCTTTTTGGCTTTTTGGCTATTTTAGCCTGAGCTATTTTAGCCTGGTTTGGGAAGGGTTTTTTGACTTTTTGACTTTTTTGGCTTTTTTGTGAGAGAGGATTGTAATGATTATGGGTTGGATTTGATGTTTTGTTTTTTGTGGCTAAAATAGCCTATTTTGTTTTTTGTGGCTATTTTAGCCCCAAACCAAGTTCCCAAACAAAGGCTATCTTATTTAAGTCACATCATCTTATTTAAGTTACATCACATGTCTACCACATCACTTCAAATCCAATCCATACTTTATAAAAAGTCAAAAAAATTCAAAAAATACGAAAATTAATGGTACAATAGTATTGATAATTACTTTTAAAAAAAATATCAACCATGTGAAAAGTCACTCTAAAAAATCCTCTGGTCGAAGTATCATAACTAGATCCTCTAGTACAATTAATGGAGTGAAAGGAAGATTTTTCAAAAAAAAAAAAAAGTAGAAAGGTGTGTAAGAATTGTTGAGTGAGGGAGAAAGAAGAGAAAACATCCAAATGCATGTATGAGATAAAAGGTTAGGAAAAGGCTGAACAGACAAAAGAGACTTTTAATTTGATGGTGTAATACTTTTAATTCAACCAGAGAATGTGCCTAAGAACACATTATTATAGATATGTTGGCAACAAAAAGGCTTACCTTTTGAAGAGCCTCGCTTTGCAGGATGGTCTTTAAAACAATATTATCCGCCATGGCTTTACCTGCAAAACCCAAACTCAAAATGTTTTCTCAGATGAGACTAAACAACTCTCTCTCTCTCTCTCTCTCTCTCTCTCTCTGCGCGCGCATGTGTATATATATGGGGATGTGTTTCAGTGTGTACGGTGTATATCATATGTATTTGTATAAGTTTTTACAAATATGTATAAGCTTATCTCACATAAATTATCATAAATATACGTAAGTTGTTATTTTTAAAATTTTTATGGGTTAACTTATGTATTATTGTGAAAATTTATACGATTTTGTAAGATATTTATGAGAATTTATACAAATATATATGATATATATTTTCACACTTCAAAATTATCCATATATATATTAAAAATGTTAGAGATTTCAAAAAATTTATCAAAAATTCTATCAAATATCTCATATGAGTGTGGAATCTACATGAGACTCATTTTGTATGGGTTTCACACCCATATAAGATATTTAATAAAATTTTTAAACTCTCTAACATTTCTCTATAGAGAGAGAGAAGCTAGTGTGTTATGAAATCTTGTAGCAAATGAGAAAAGGATGACATAAAAAAAGAAGGAAAACAAAAATTGAAACAGTTGTATGACAAATTTGCCAAAAATTACAGCCCTGCCCAACTTATTTATGTCGGTAAGGATTATCATCATTCTTATTTTAATGATTTAAATAATTTTTTAGGATTTTTTTTGTGTATTTTATTTACACAAAAAGTTAATTTATTCAATTTATTATTTGGAATACAAACAAAATAATAAATATGTCATAATTATTAAATTAACTTAATTTTTTAATGAGTAATATACATAGGATAGATCTTACAAAATAAAATATTTAAATTATTAAAATAAGACCTGTAATAAAGTTGATCGATCTAACAACAAGCCATTCATTGGAAATTATGGACAGCTAGAAGGCCCATTCCTTAAAATTAGCTTGTTGGGGGGAAGGTTTACATAAATAATTTAATGAAAAATACTTTGGAATTCTAATTTTTTAATTTTAAAGTCAACTCTAATGAATTAACAGTGGACTTCACTTATTGTGATGTGATATTTTGGTATTAATTTATTTTATTTTATTTTTTTCTTCTTATTATGTCATTAATATTCTATTAAAATATCAAAATTATTCATTACTGATAATTCAATAGCATCAAATGATTGTCTTTACATCAAAATTATTCATTACTGATAATTCAATAGCATCAAATGATTGTCTTTACCTAATAACATGGAAAGTATACAAGTTCATAAATAAATATGAATTTTTTTTAAAAAGTGATAGAATGGGAAACTATTTTTCAAATTTATGGGGGGACACCTCGTTTGGGATAATATATTTTAGTTAAAATATTAAAAAATTATAATAAATTATCATATCATTTTTTTTACATCTTTTAATAAAAAATTAAAAATTATTAAAATAATTTGTTCTTAAATGAGGTCAATTCTCTGTCTGTTAACCTATTGCACACAAATGATTGTTTGATAATCTTAAAATATTACTTTATATTATTTATTACTTGACATTTTACAAATAATTTTTCAAAAATTCAACAAAAATTATTAAAGTTTCGTTTGGCATTGTTACAGTAGCCAACTTTTTGTGTTGAGACTTTTTAGCCTCGTTTGATTTTTATTTTTAGACTTTTTGACTTTTGTAAGAGAAAAACTGCAATGATTATAATTTGAATGCGATATTTTGTTTTATTGACATATATAGCCTATTTTATTTTTTTACACTTTTTTAGTCCCAAAATATTTACCAAATGAAGACAAATTCTATTATTTTTGCCAATGAATATTTAGGAATGGTTTGGAATGATCTAAATAAGTGCATTTTTTAACTTTTTATGAAATATGGGTTGGGTTTGAAGTGATATAATAGAGAGGTGATGTGACTTAAATAAGATGATATAACTTAAATAGAATAGTGACTTTTTAACTTTTTTAGAAGATGAAAAATAAAGCCTTGGTTGAAACACTGTAATATTATTTCAGGAGTGAAAAATAATTTCTCCACCATCATTTTTGCTCTTACAACAATGATGGAGAGCTTTAATTTTAGAATTTTAAAGAAAATTTTAATGATGCGGTATAAGGAAAAAAAAACAAAAATATAAGTACATACATTACATCACATTACATATGAACTCCACTCTTTATCACCTGAATAAAACTCTTTTTAAAACTTTAAAATTAAAAATATCAATCTTTATTATTGCTCTTAAATACTAAGGGATTGTTTGTGATGGGTTAAATAAGTGTACTTTTTGTCTTTTTACGAAAAGATATTCAAAAAAATAAAGAGGTGATATGATAAAAAAATAAAAAAATAAATTATTTTATGTATATCAAACTTAACCTAAGTCACATCAATGTCCCTTCTACACGTGAACATGATGTGATTTTAATGGTTTTACTTTTTCTGATCACTCTACTTTCACGAAAGCAAATACTTTCCAAACCCAACTGCCCATATAGCCTAAATAATGAGCCGCCTCACAATTATAACCGGTATTGGCCATGTTTGGTGGAGCTGAGAGAAAGTCCTTATAACTTGTGTTTTAACAGTTTATACCTTATAATTATAAATATAAGTTAATTTTTGACTTATAAATTAAGTATTTTCTGCACCACTCAAAGAATAAGTTGATTTCTGACTTACAAAAAGCTATAAGCTGCATTGTTAAGCTAAACCAAACACATCAAAATAACTTAAATTAAGCTGAAAGCTGAAATAAGCAGCTTTTAAGCTGCACCAAACAGGCACATTATGTACGGGATTTTATAAATTAAAATATATATATATATATTATAAATATATTAAAATAATTTAATATTTTATCTTGTGTATATATGAAAATTTTAAATTAATTTTTATATTCATAAACTTTTAAATTATTATTTTTAAAAAATTAAAAATATATATCTATGTCTATTTAGTATAATTTTGATAATTTGTTATTAAAAAATAAAGTTAAACCAAATTAAATAAGGTTACATGAGTTATGATATATCTCTTCTTGTTATAAAAATATACAAATTTAAAAGTTACAATTAAGACAAATATACAATTTTATTATTAAATGTAAAGTGAAGTGATATTTAATAATAATTAATATGATATTTCTGTTATTAATCCAATAATTTAAATTACATTTCTTTTAGTTTTGATTTCATCATTAAAAATACAATATGAATATAACACACACACAGATTTCTAGTCTTTAAGAATAAGAAGGTTTTAGAATGTTTCCAACCTTTCATCATTTTCTTTTAATTTTTTTATCTAATTTTATTTTAAATTTAAATAAAAAAATTTAGTTTGATATAAATTACTTTAGTTTTTTATTAAATTTTTATCAATTTTTAAAAAAACTTTCATTCTTATCCATTTTTTTTGTTTCATCAATTTTTATAGAAAAATAATAATAATTTCTAACCCTTCATCTTTTTAAATTTTTATCAAATTATAATTCGATAAAAAAAATATTAAGGGTTGAAAATTCTCTTAATTTGAATTATAGTGAAATAACATCTTGATATAGTGAAAGTTTGTATATGTGGTTGGTTGAAATATATAATTTGATTAATTCTATTCTCATATTTGTATAAAAATTATTACTTATGACCACATCATTATAAGTTGGATTTTGGAAAGTTTTTTGAGGTGTGAAACATTTTTTATTTGTAAATATCCTACCTATTAAAAAAAAGAAAAAATAAAAGAAAAAGAAAAAAATGTGTAGTTTTTGGATATGTGTTTATCAATTTTATTTTGTGGACATAAACAACTGGTGTTTGAATTTAGAAAATTAAAAAGTATAAAAAAAAAAAAAATTGGATTTTTTGGGGATAAAGAAGCCATCTAACTCCTGTATATACTATTTTAAGATGGATTATTTTAATCACGTAAAAAAATAAAAATTATATTTGGAGATTATCCCTGTATGCTATTATATACAAATATAGTGGTAATAAATTAAATAATATATAAGAAAAGTTATATAAACTTTCATTTTCAATTAATTGAATTATGATTAAAAACTAACGAATAGCACTAATAATATAATAGGATAGAAATAAAAAAACATAATAATATTGAAAATTTTTAAATTTATCTAGTTATACAAAAGTCTAATGTTATAGTACAATCTTGAATTCCCAATAAATTTTCATTTCTATAAAATAAAACGACAATAAAAAAAAATTTGATACCCATTTTTTTACTTCAGTTTTACGGTTTTCATTAAAAAAAACAAAATCCAATCAAAATCCTTCGCATAGAATGGGCATAGATACTTCGATTGCAACCATCATCACTAATAATTCTCCTCCACCATGTAAACCTGTAAACAAATACATAAATCTCACAAAAATCAAAACCAAAACCAAGCCAACGACAGAGAAAAAGAATCATACAAGAAAAAAAATAAAATTAAAAAACAAATAAATTTATGGAGTGGTAGGGTATTATGATGTGAGTTAGATATGTGATAAATATGTGAGTTTTATTGATTTAAAGTATGATGGTGTGAGATATTTTCAAATTAGATTTGTTTAAATAGATTTTAAAGATTTTTAAAATTTAAAATTAGCTATTGAGAGGCAAAAGAAAAATTTTAACTAAATAAATAAATATCATATTTATTAATTTTATCTGTTTGTATATCTGATTTTTATTTTTTTTATTTTTTTTTGTTATGTTATAATATGATATTATCTGATCTTTTTTAAGGAGAGAAAAGGAAAGCAAGTTTTAATATTTTCCTTTGGAAATCGATGAAAGAAATTAGAATGAAGAGATTATGGAATATTTTTGTTATATTTCCATTTGAAATCTATAAATTAAGGGATAATTATTATTTCCAAAATAATTAAATAGGTATCGAAGAAGTTAAAAAGGGGGAAAATTATTATTTCTAAAATAATTAAACATGTATGGAAAAAGTTAAAAAGGGTGTGTATAGGAGAAGTCAAAAAGGCTTGAGAGAAGTAAATAAGTGTTAAGATTTTTTTTTAAATCAAAAATTAGAAAATTAGGATTGAGATATTAGAGCTCACACAAAACTTATTAGTTC